CCTTCCTGATTCTCACGTCTGAATTCAAAGGGGGTTGTGTTTCAACTCACTTGTGGAAATGTGACTAAGAAGACAAATAGCGTGAGAAAATGCATGTCAGCTATGACCTTCAAATATCCTCTAATACAAAACCCTCGAACGCACCCGGGGACTGGCGGTGGCGGCATGTCCTACAGCTCCTCGCGGAGGGGTAGCTGCGAGGAGGAGGGGTGACTCTGGGCTTGCCCGGAGATGAGACCATGAACTGTGCTTCTGCGGGGCTCACAGAGGTGCTCAGTTTCCCAAACAAAGCGATAGAGAAAGCCGGGGCCCCTGCGCTCGGCTGGACCTCACCTGAGTCTTCAGAGCTGCTGGCGGCGGGTGTGCCATGTGTTTTCAGTGGATCCCGCAGATGAGCTTCAGGAGCTCTGGAATCATTATCAAGCATTTTGCAGTGCACCAAGTTTAGACACAACCTGGATAAAACACTCAGAAGCACGTACACACACATCCGTACTTACCAGGAAAGTCACCACAAAAAGGAGAAAACTGCAGAGTCCCGTGCTGTTTCGTTGCCACTGGGCTTTGCAAAGCGCCTCACTGACGGCCCCTCGGCCGCCTGCAGCCCAGCGCTTGCATCAAGCGCTGCCTGCAGCCTTTGACAGACGTTTGCCCTAATTATTGTATTTTCTAGTGGTTTATTAATACTTGTGCGATAGGTTCATGAATACAGTAAACCATAGGAAAATTCGGGTTAACACAACAAGTGTTTGTCCACAGACCCTCAGCCACAATAAATAGTGCTTGAACTGCAGTCTGCACTGCATGACCCTGGTCAGGCTCCTGAAGGAGCACCAAGGGAGAGCTGGGGGTGGTGAAGCCCCTGCGGTCAGCACGGCACCCAGTGGATTCATGACGATGAGCGAACGGTAATACACGCTGGGTATTTTTGGAATTTTGCATCTTCAGCTTCATCCCCAGCAAATGTTGTCAAAAAGGCGGGAGATGGAAGCCACTCAGCGCACTACTAGAGCACAGCCTGCAGCTAGTTACTGCCATCACCCGCTTACCAAGGGCTCGTCCTCCTACCCGCCAGTGTTGGCCAGAAGGGCGGCATTTGCCTTCCGAGGGCACTTTTGCTCCCCAAACTCCCACAGTCGACTCTTCAACCGAGCAAGTTTCCTGCCCTGCAGGCCTGGCTGCCGGAGCCGCGGGCTGTGCAGGTGGCCTCACTGGCCATCTGCTCTCCCCGGGCCCTCACCTACTCCCCCACTCCTCCACGTGCTGGCTGAATGCTCCTCCCAGCACCCCTTGGCCCAGTGAGCCCCCACCCCATTTTTGTGTGAGTAGAGTAGTGTTGGTGAAATGGAACAGCTGGGTCCTGGGCACCGCCGTCGTTGCTGGGGGTCAACACCTGGCCCCGCTGCTGGCGGGGAGCTGTGCAGTTGTGCCAAGGTGCCCCCGCGATCTGGCCCGACTCCTGGTGTTTCCTTTCATGGCAAGAGCAGCCCTCAGCAGCCACTCAGCCAGTGAAGTGTGCTGGTTGGGGGAGCGGCCCCCGGTATCTGCTCCCATACACGTCTAGAACAGTTCAGTGCATAGCTCTAAGAACTGAGGCGACGGCATTAATTTTCTGAACTCACAGAACCAGACCGTTCCGGGCTGGAGTCCTGGTGGGGTGCTGGCTGGCCCCCACGCGCCCTTTGCTCTGGCGGGCGGCTGCGCCCGCCTGCCTCTGTTGTGTCACAGAAGCTCTGCGGGTTTTCCTTCCCATCTTCCTCGAGCATCTGGGTTTCTCCAGACCGTACCTACAAAACAGGAGCCGTTTCTGCCCTTCCTGCCCTTGCACGCACCGGGACCTGGGCAAGCAGGCTCTGTGCGCTCTCTGCGCCTCTGGCTCGCCCCCGAGCCCCCACCGCCCCCCTGACTTGGCCTGTCCAACTCTGGGCTCCTCACCTCCCTCCCCCAGTGTCTCCAGCTTGTCAACACTTGCTGCAGCTGTGGGCGGGAGAGTAGGAGCCCCGCTGCGTCTATCCAGGACTCGGCTTTTCCTTATTGTCTCATTCGCTCTTCACGGTGACCTTGCGTGTTAAGTGGAAACTGAGTCTCAGAGCATTTTTACTGACAAGGAAATGAAATACAGGTGAGGAGAGTAAGCGGTCTGCTCCATCTTGCAGGCTCTCACAGGCAGGATTGGATTCTGAGCCTCCCATACTGAGTGAAGAACCTTCCACTGTCCGGTATTTTAATAGAATCAAAGGCAAAATTTGTCACCCTCTGGTATCCGGAAATGAGCCTGTTCTCCCTGACGGTCTTTACTTAATTTAGTTTTCTAACGCCTACTGAGGTTAGAATCTGGATTTCTCTGGCATCGTAGCAGCCTGTATTGAAGACAGCAGATGGTTCAGCGAGTGGTTTGAAAGTCTCCGGTGCTGTTCTGTGTGGACCTGTACTTGTCCTGTCCTGGTGTATCAGGCTGTTGACTAAATGGATTCATATTCTTGATCCCCACAACACAGCCACTGCTGATGACTTGACACTTTTGCAAGTTAATAAAGTCCACACACTTGTAGATAATACATTGAAAGTTGGAGAAATATTTCTTGACCTGTAAAACGTGATATAATGCTTGAAGTTTAAAAAGAGCCCTTAAAATATTTATCATTTAATTAATGTGGAAAGTCATGTCTTGTCACTTTTCCTTTTTATTGTTAAGTGTTGTCAACAGAGACAAATTCATCTTAACTTAATTAAATTCAACCAATAAATTTCACTGAATGGGACTGTTTGTTTCTCTTCTGCCAAACAAGACTTGTTTAAGGCGCCTTGTGATACACACTCCATAAGAAAAATAAAACGCGGAGACTCTGTGTGTACGTAGTGGTCCTGGAAGCTGCGAGACGCCGGTGTCAGGGTGAGGGTGCGCGGGATCTGAGGCCGGCGAGCACTAGGCGTCGTCGGGAGAAATTCATAGAAATTTCGCCTCTGGTAGGCACGGGAATCACGAAATCCATTTCTGCGAGGTGATCATATCCCAGCTCTGCATTTAGCTTTGCTGTCGCCACCCCCCTCGTTGTGAAGTTGTTTTTCTGTTTCAGATTGCTAAATGGCACTCCGCCTAGACTAGACCCTCTTGTTGAGATGTTCTCAGCTTGACCGGGTGCCAGAGAAAAAGCGAGACTCTGTAGGGAATGGAGTTAGCTTGCTCACGAGGGTGAGCAGAGAACCATCTCGATAGCGGATGGAATGGGGGTACTTCGCTGACCTCCCTGCCTGCTACTCAGTTTGCTGAAGGTTAAAAACACCAGGAATTCTGCCTCAGTCCGGTCTCAGCTCTGGGAGTTTTCTCTTCTGACAAATAAGCTGTTTTCAGTCACGTTTGTTATCACCAGTGTACAGTTTTGCTATTTATGTCTTTTATAAATTAGCGCTGCATTTTACTCAGGGGAGAGTACAAAGCACACCATTGATTTATACTAAAATCACAAAACTTATGAAAATGATGTTTGAAGTGAAGATGATGGCGTTATAAAATTATGTTCACGACAGTTTGGACATAAGAGTAGTAAAGAAGTGAGTAGAGCAGGACCAGGTATTGTTAGACCCTGAGTAACCGTTACCCCCAGAATCATCTTTAGGTACCAGAGTGACTTAGGACCTTTGTTCTTTTTCTTTTCGTGTCACTTGTTATCTCTGCTAGTTTAGCTTTTTCCAAACATGCTAACTCAAGAGATAGCTTATCTTTGTCCATTCTGGCTGCCCTCACAAAAACACCATAGGCCCCGTGGCTTGCACAATAATACGTGAAGGCTGGGAAGTGCAAGATCAAGGCCCCGGCAGATCCCAGTCTGGGAAGAGCCCACTTCCCTGTGATGCCATCTGTCTGCTGTGTCCTCACCTGACTCCAGGACAAGGGAGCTCTGTGGGATCTTTTCATAAAGACCCTGGTCCCATTCATGACCTAATCACCTCCTCAGAGCCCCCACTTGTAAATGCCATCACATCGATCTGGTTCGAAAGGAAAGGAGAGGTAACATCAAATAAAGTAAGCTTGAAATCTTGAATCCTTGCCAGGCTAGAAAGAACCTGAATAGTCTTGAACTCTTGGCTAATCTGTGACATTTTATAAAGGGATGGTTCAGTGGGTTTCCATGTGAATGATTTCTACTAGCTTTGTCTTAATTTAGGAAGTATTAGAACATGAGTGGTCTTGTGTATCCATAGACCATACACAGTAAAATGCCATTAGGAATTGTTGACTTGAGAGAGCACTTAACAATGGTGAGATTTTGAGTAAACCTCTTACAGTGAAAAAATGTAAACTAACCCCATCGACCGTAAAATAATTTTCCCATTGTATCTGGAGAGGAAAATTGATTTTAAAGGATGTCTAATAGATTAATTAAAAACATTATTCTGAAAACCCCTTTTTTGATCCACTGAGAGAACAGCTTCCAAATACCTCAGGTGTCAGGCCAAGTGGATCCAATAGTTTTGTTTTGTTTTAATGTAATACTTTCACATTATTTTGTGCCTTTTTCCATCTCTGGCGTCCCATCACCAAGTCACCAGTGTGCCATCACCAAAGTCCAGAGCACTTCCTCCTCCCCCATTTTTGATCCCATCCCCCACTCCACCCCTATAAAATGTCTCTGGTATATAGCTGTTCATTATTATTCTCCCCACTCCACCCCCAGTCCTTTATGCTCCTTCTGTGAGTGAAGTCATCCTGTATTTTTCTTTTTCTTTCTGGCTTATTTCACTTTCCAGCTCCATCCATGTTGCTGCAAAAGGCATGAGTTTATCTTTTTTGATTGCTAAGTAATATTCTATTATGTACATGGACCACATCTTTTTAATCCAGTCATCTACTTTTGGGCATGTGGGTTGGTTCCATGTCTTTCCTGGATCCAATAGTTTTTTATGCTGTTGAAAAGAAATCTTGTAGAATATAAAGGACATTCTACCAGCTTAGTCTTCTGTTCACTAAATACACATGTGTTTTGGATATTCTGTTGCAGGTATGAGAAAGTGCCAGTCATCTTAGTTGGAAACAAAGTGGACCTGGAAAGCGAGAGAGAAGTGTCATCCAGTGAAGGCAGAGCCCTTGCTGAAGAGTGGGGCTGCCCCTTTATGGAAACTTCTGCCAAGAGTAAAACCATGGTGGACGAACTCTTCGCAGAAATCGTGAGGCAAATGAACTATGCCGCGCAGCCGGACAAAGACGACCCGTGCTGTTCTGCATGTAACATACAATAGCATTTGAACACGGCTGCCCTGCACAGGGAGAGCTCACAAGAGGCACGCGAACCTTGCCCAGTCAACTGGAGTTTGCAGCGTTCGTGGTGTGAATCTGCAGAGAAGTAGAGCCCTTCTTCAGAACTGAGCAGTGATTGTTGAGCTCTCTGAGCAACATTGGGTTTGGTAGCCAGTTTCCACCATTGTCCTCAGTCTCTCCACACCTGCAACTTGAAGGCTTAGCCCATTGATCTACAGGGTGATCTCCTCTGAAGCTGTGACGGCCTTGGTGCGGAGTCGACAGAAGCAACTGTTGCCTAAGTTCAAAATCATCCTGAGAGAGAAACCAGAAGAATTGTTTTGACCACTTACAATTAGCGTATTTTGTTGTCTTTAAGAAGTTAATAACCAGTAAAGGAGAAATATTTTCCTACGAGAATTCTGAATTCAGGAACTGAGGTAGTGCTTCTAACCGATGACACAAAGAGCTGACCAGCCAGCAGTATCCGGGGAGAGATTCTTTGCTCGGCTCACACATTTCTGTTTCTCAAAATCGATGCTTGCTTGTAGATGTGATCCTCACTTTGACGCGGGACTAACTCATGCTCCACTCAGCAGGTGGGCTGAAAGGGCAGCCTGGTGTCAGGTGTGCTAGCTCACCTGCTTTGCCACAGAGAACGGAGGCTCGCACAGGGTTGTTCTGAATTAACGTCCCAGACCCACCCTCTGTTCACCAAGCAGGGATGGTCTTTGTGTTACTTTACTGAACAAGAAGGAAGCAACTGTGATGAAAAGAGATTGCCTAGCCTTACTATGAGAACGGTCTAGTAGGTGAACCAGCACCATCACGTAAGGAAAATGAAGCCATGTTGCATCCACATGTTCCTGTTTGCAGAAACCTCCCGGGACAGTGCAAATAGCTTGCATTTTTACGTTTGTGAAAGCAGCAAATTCCTTCTTGCCTTTAAGGGCTGTGGTTGTGGTGTGATTTCTGCTTTCAAAATCAAGTTTGCTGTGACAGAGCTTTATGACAAGCCTTTGAAATATTGAATAACCATGTGAAATAATTTGGGCTGAAGAGTAGAACACAAATTATAGAGTGGAAGGTGAGGGACTAAAAAAAAAAAAAAGAGAGAGAGAAAGAGAGGAAAAAGAAAAGAAAGCACCTAACCTTTTATCTTTAATTTTCCTGGAGAATTAGAGAGAGATTTTCTTATAACAATTTTGCCCTGATTACTGAAGTGGCTAGTAAAGCTAAAGTGAGCATTTTGCTTTAAAAAGGTGCTCAAGCTCTGACACTTTTGGTTTTGCAGCCGTGAAGTATTTATCATTTGCATGACGAATGGCACAGAAAAACCCATTCCTAAATTTTACTGTCCAGTGTAGAAGGGTCCACAGCCAACTTCCGAGCTGGGAAGGCTGTGGAGAGGATCTTGCACCCTCAGAACTGCAGCGGCACTGAGGCCGGTATCTACACACCACCCCACATTCTGCTGGTTCACACTCTTGTGCAAGCAGCCTGCAGTCTTGCGTGTGTCACCGAGAGAAGCGTGTGTTTGTGCGTGCATGTGTGTTTATCGTCCCTAAGAATTTGGCACAAATCCGAAGCTCATCGCCTCTAAGGAGAATGTGTATTGCAGAATGGCGTGTTTCAAAAGCATTTCTTTTCAATTATTTCAGTGTCTTCTATACATGATTGAAATCACTGGTAGCCCCCAAGTGTTTGATAAACCTGAGTCAAGTTTAGAGGATAGAAAAAAGGTGGTTTGTACTCTCATAGATGAGAAAAGAGACAGGTGGGTAAAACCAGGCTGTGGTTGCCCAAAGTCTTTGAATTGTTAATATCCACATTCTTCAGTATAGATTTTGAAGTCAGTCCCCAATGATGATGCCCCTTGGTTATGGGACAGAACACCCTAACCAGTTTGAAACAGTTCATTATGTTAAAGTTGATTCGACTCGGAGCTATGCAGAAATCAGATTCAAGAAATGTGATCTAGCTACTGAAATATATTTTGTCAGTGAATTAGGTTGAGTTTTGAAGCCTCTATCCTATCAGAACGATGCTGGCTTTTTTTTTTTTTTTAATTCTAGACTTGACAGAAATTTATGACAACTAAGACTACATATGTAGAAACATCTGTAACATTTGACAACTAAGACTACATATGTAGAAACATCTGTAACATTTTAACATCCTGGATCGCTATGCAGATAAGAAAAATAAGTTCGATAAGAAGAAAGGTTTGGCAAAACAAGGTAGAAAAGTTTATCTGCCACTTTGGGTTCTCCGGAGAAGTGTGTGTCAGGCAGTGGGGGATGACTTTTCCTGGAAAGGGGTGAACAGCAGCCACTGGGGCCACCTCAGCAGTCTCCCTGCACTACCCTGCATACTCAGGGTCAAGTGGGGAGACACCCAGAAACCAGAAATGCGGGGATCCTCTTGTGCTCTTCTTCCCTTGGGGATTTCACCTGGTCTGCAGGTAATTCCACTAGAAGGGAAGCGCTGGTTGAGATGAGATCGGAAGTCTAGGAACAGGCCAACTCTGTGGGGGCACCTGAAGCGAGACCCCAGCAGAGCGGTGACGTGGGCGCTCCCGGCCTGGTCAGTCTGGAAACTAGAGAAGTGAAAGTTTTCCTAACATGCCTTAAAAATGTTATGGTTTGATCCAAAGACCCACGTTTTCTTTAGCTCTTGTGAAGGTTTCTTTCATTTGTTTTGTCTTTTACTTTCATACAAAGGCAGCATTTTTTTTTTTTTATTGTTTGGGGGGTTTCGTTTATTTATTATTTTTTTTTTTATCTTGGCAATTCTTGGTTTCTTTCCAGCCCCGAGAGTGATTGTGACTGATGCCTTTCATGTTGCTCAACTTTTGCAAAACAAGCAGCATTGGGTCAAAAAAGGTTACATCCGATCTTCCCGACACTTCTGGAAGGTGCTGTGATGGTTTTCTCCTGCGGCTTAGGGATTCAGGAATGAACTTTGGTCTCCAGTCGCTGGGGTTGCGCTCTCTTTTCGGCGGTAAAACTACTGATACTTGCTTTTCTATATATATATATGTAAAGAAATGCTGCCTCAGGATGTCTGCTCTTTGTCTTCGAGAGTTTCCAGTGAGGGGTGTGTGTGGGTGTGGGCGTGGGCGTGGGTGGGTGTGGGCAAGTGTGTATCTGGTTTTTCATCATCGGTTTTTTCAGTTCATTTTGCATTTTCTCCTTTTCAGTAGTCTTGTGTTAGTACCGAATAAGCTTTAATTGTCTCCTTAGCCAATCCAACATTAAAGACTCTGGGGGTCTTTTTTCTTTTCTTTTTTAATTAATGTGTCATCACGAATCTATTAAATCTTGATCAGGATTTCAAGAATGACCGCAGTGGGTTTTGGAAACAGACTTATCATTATTGATTTGGGGTTTCCCAGAGATAAATATAGTTCACAGTTAATTGTTGAGCTCTAATACAACTGACCATTGAAAATTGAACAACAGCCTATTGTTTTGTAACAATGTCAGTTGTTAAACCTTGACATTTCAATTAAAACATGAATTGTGGTTATAACTCAATGCAAATTCAACAGTTGTATTTGGAGTTAAATTATTTTAACAAATAAATTTATTTAATGAAACTTCCTCCAGATTTTTTGGTTTTGTCTTGTACTGTTCACGAGATGTAACCGTCATATACAAAACTATTAAAAATGGCCATAAAACAAATTTAGTAATCTTCATTACAGAAATATTTAAGCCGAATTAAGTTGCAGTTTCTATCAGAAGGGAAGTTGGCAGATCATTTTCATACCCATTAAAAATGGAAATGACACAAAAAAGACCATAAAATCAGTGATTATAAATATAAATTTAATCTCTGCATCAACAGTGTTTTTAATTTCTGACGACAGCTGGCTAATGTGACGTGTCCATGCTAATGTGAACAGAATTATTCTAGAGAATGAGCATTCGTCAGCAGTTGCTTTCGAGCCCACTGTCACAAAAATGTGTCCATATCCTCCTAGTGACGGCGTGAGGCTGCCTGACACTCCAGGCCTTGAGGGTTGTAAGGTACCAGACTCTGCGGTTGCACTCTGCCAGGCTGCCTCCCTGCTTGCTGCCCCAGGCCCTGCGAATGTAGACAGGTGCCCTCCATCACTCCCGGCCTTCAGCTGCTCCGATAAGGGGCCCTTTCATTCCCCAAGCCGCTTCAGCGGTGCCGTTTGGTTATGTTGCCCTCAGACTCTGTTGAAATGCCCTGGCAACATTCCATCCGTTTAGAAGCTTCATTGTTTTAGAATATAAGAATAATTTGAATGAATATAACAGAGGCACTGTAGACAGAATCTCAAATATTTAAAGGAAAATGTCCCTGTATTTTAGAACAAACGACTGCTAGTTAACTGCATAATTGCATCGGAAGCTCGTAAAGTGCTGAAACATATCAAATCTTAATCGCAATTAGGAGAATTTCTGTGTGCCTGAAAAATAGTATTTTGAGACTCTGTGTACTATTTTTTGATTGTTAAAGACCCATGAAAGAAAATGCAAATAGCTGAAGGAATCATAAGGTGTCACCCAAGGGGGAACTCATCTGTCCTCTGGTACCTGTGAAGTAGAGGAAATTGTCACAGATCCCCTAAAAAGCTCTAGGGATGATTTCTTAAAGTATCTGTGTCACCACGTGACTGCTAATGAGACCTAGTGACACTGTATTTGTTAAATGTATGATATGTGGTTTTACACTTTTTCAATATTAACTAAGTTTTGTTTCTGTTTCGATACTTCCCTCATGGCTCCTTTCCTTAAAGTAGTAGGTTTCTGAAAGGTTTGCTGCTCCCACAGGTAAGGTGGTATGTTATTTCTTTCTGTACTTACAACAGTCATTTCGTGTTCCCTTGCAAAGACAACTCACAGCTGCTTAGTGGAAAAAACGTAGAAAACTACTGGAAAGAGTTAATACCAAGGCCATTTTTGCATGCACAAGTTAGAAGAAAAAAAAAAAGTCTGCAGAAATGTTACTTGATTTGGTGTATGGGATTTTTTATAAGGTCCTCCCATTTCAAAACTCATATCAAAAATTTCAGTTTTATCATGATGACAATATTATAGTGACAGTCCTCAAGTATGATTTACATTTTTTCCCCTTTAAAGAGCCAGACACTAATGAAAAACAAAGAGAAAAGGAAAAAGCCATCCAATCTCCAAATTCACAAAACAGCCATGTTAACATTTGACATAAATAAATCGCTCCAAAGCTCTGCATTCTTGCATAGGCACTTGGTGGACACAGGGTGATAATCCCCTATTGCAAGAAACTGACCCCTAGAAATGAGCCCAGCTAACTTTAAATCATCTTTTCCCTGCTGCGACTCCTTCCATGGAGAGTTTCTCCGTCTGCCGCAATATGACAGACAGACATACTGACACATACCCCTCACCCTGACGTCTCCCAGGGAGGTGCATTCATAAGCTGCCTTCAGCGGGGGGCGACTTTCCCTACAGTGTGGGAGGCTGGAAGTCCAGCATGGGGGTCTGGTAGGTTTGGTGTTTGAGAACTACCCAGTTTCAGGCTGCAGCTTGATTTCTCGTTAGGACCGCACATGGCGGGAGGGAGAAAGTGGCTTCCCGAGGTCTCCTGTGAGCACTGGCCCCACTGGGCCAGCCATGACTGGCACCTCATGACCAGCCACCTCCCGAGGGCCCGCACTCCTGCTGCTGTCACTGGAGACCAGGCAAAGCAAGCAGTCTAACGCAGGAGTCGTGACCCTCTGCGGTCCCCTTTTCTCTCAAGGTAGATAACAAGCCGCAGCTGGCAAGAGCTCCTTTATACACTCCCTACTCTCAGATCCAGGACCCAGGCTGGACCGAAGTCCCAGGCAGAGATGCCCCTGCCCACATCTTTCTAAAGCCAACAAGACCAGCCTGGGCGTTTCCATCCCAGGAGCTTGAAGGGCCGGTGGATGGTGGTACAGCACGGCCAGGAATCTGCTCATAGCATGAGTCTGCTCCCTGGGGTGGAGCCTCCTTGCTGGAGCAGGCTCTTGTGGAGCTGTGTGGGCACTGGGGAAGTTGGAGGGCATTAGCAAAGTGGAAGGGGGTGGCTGTCTACAGATCAGGTACGACACTGCAGGGTTAGTGTGGGGTCCTTGACCCAGTGAACACTAACTACGCTTCCAGTTTCAGTGAGATTTTTTTTTTTAAAGATTTATTTATCTATGCATACAGAACTGGGGTACAGCCAGTGGTGCAGGGGTGGCGAGAGCAGAAACAGTGGGGAGCAGAACAGGCAGAACGACAAAGCACACTGCTGAGGGGAGAAGCGGGAAAGCAGTAGAGGTCTGCTGAGCCATGTGGGTCACCTCCGGGGCTGGGTCACCTCCAGTTCTGTATGCATAGATAAACTCACACTGAAGCTGCCATGGCTCCGCTTCCCTTCTCAGTGCAGGGCTCCAACCTGCTGCACCACCAGGGAGGGCCCTCAGTGAGATTTTAGTGAACATCAGTCCTGGGAAGTCTTTTCTCCCCTACAAAGGAGGGGTGAGTGATTTGCACATACTGAGAACAATTGAAGTAAATCATAATTAGTGGCAAGCCCTGATGCCAAGAAATGATAGACTAATCGTGGGAAGACAATAGAATTTCTGTGCAGGAATCCCTAAATCTGAGGAAGACAATATGAACCAGAGCAGCAGGGGCTTTGTGCAATTGGTGCTCAGCATGAGGGCAAGAACGGCCTCCTGGTTGAGAATCCAAGAGTCCTGGCCTCGGCAGACCTGCAGGGATGCGCTTGCAGGGGACGTTTGTTTTTCTGGGTAAATTACCCCACGTTTGTTCTCACACCATGAAGCCTCGGGGTTTAAACCATGAGGTATTTCAGTCTGCAGAATATGATTCCAGAGTCAAAAATGCCTGGAAAACCTTGCATCATCTCACATGGGAGAAAAGCCTCCAAGATTTTTGCTGATGTTTCCAGAACTAATCTGACCCTAGGACACTTTCCTTCATTTAATACATTGGAGCACATTTTGGAACAAAATTTGGCAAATTTTATTTAGATATTTGTCCTCCAAACCCTGCTAGTTCCTAATGATCCTTCAAGATCATTGCCCTCTTATCTTTTCCTGAAGGATGTGTTAGCCTTCATCTGAACAAATATTATCTGACATATTAGCACATCGGTGGCTTAGAAAAGTGTGATTAAAGGTAAAAGGTACTAGAACTGAACAACATAGATGCCCTAGTCACTCACTTCTAATTACATTTGGATGGGTTCTCTGTTGCCATGGAAACCGTCTATGCTTGGGAAATTTGGGAGGCAGGGATCTCCTCCAAGTTTCACAGTTCTGCATCTGAAAGAAATTTCTTGTTCTATATATGAGTTTAGAAACTATTCTACAGCGTTCTGTTTGAATAACCTGCAGACAAAGCTACTGTCAGTTACTCAGGCCAGGTAATACAAAAAGCATTCTTTGTTTTTCTTAGTTATAATTTTCCCATTTGTGACAAAAATGACTACAAATTCTTTGAATAAGGAACTATCTTCTCTACTTCCTCTAACTTGATCGATTCATCAAACTTTGAGTCCAGTATGGTAGCCATCTCTGCCTGTAGCTATTTTTTTTTAAGATTTATTTATTCATACAGAACTGGGGTACAGGCCAGAGATGCAGAGGGTGAGAGGATTCACCAGAGACAGAGTGGGGAGCAGAACAGGCAGATCGATGAAGTACACTGCCGAGGGGAGCAGCGGGCGGGTCAGGAATGGTCTGCCGCGCCATGTGGTCACCTCCAGGGCAGACGGGGATCGAACTCATGCAGAATTGGCTTAAGCTTCTTAGTGCAATGCTTTAACCCGCTGCACCACCAGGGAGGGCCTGTAGCTATTTTTCAACTCAAAGTTAAAATAGAATTCTTCAGTAACACCACTCAAATTTCAAATCACACTAGTCACATTAGTGCACAGTATAATGTATATGAACATATATATTGCACAATGAAAACAAAAGTTCACATCCCTCACCACATATAGTTACAGCTGACTTTCTTGTAATGAGAACCTTTACATCTGCTATCTTAGCAACTTTCAAATATACAATACAGTGGTAACTAAAGTCACCACACTGCACGACAACCCCAGGACTTAACTTACTGAAAATTAGAAGTTTTGACCTTCCCCGAATCTTGAAAGTCTTAATAATTGTGAAGAAGGTTCTCCACATGTATGCACTGAGTACCTCAAGTTGGGTAACCAGTTCTGCTGTAAGAGGTGAAGAGGAATGTTGAGCTTTGGTCTTCCCTTCCCTTGTGATTGTCCCTAAATCCCTTTCCTATAATCTGTAGAGGATAAGGAAGAATGATTGGCACAGGGATAAAATTCAGGAGTTAGAAATTTTTAGATTATGTCATCAGGGACCATGATCAGGAATTCAAAGAACATATGTTGCCAGAAATTCTGGAATCCTGAAGCAAGAAGCCCATACTTCTGATATTAAGGGAAAGTTTGGGCTCTCTTTGGACAGGTGTTTTCTAATATGGGTTCTATATTGCCCTTATGAAACCTTGCCAGAGCCATGGTTCAGCTTTAACCTGATGTTATTCACCAATCACTCATTTCTTTACTCTCCATCATTCTTTTGACA